TATATAGGAGACAGAACAAAAACTGGACTAATGAGCCGACAAGAAACAGGTGTGGATGTAAGCATCTAGAAGAAAGCCAAGGGAAAAGGATAAAAAACACAAGGGGGCAACAGAGAGTAACTTAAGAACAAAACACTGCTAGAAAACAAGTACAAATACAAAGAAACTAAAAATAAACTTAAACAGAGGGTAGAACACTGACATAGAGATTATTACATAGTTTATCTTGGGTTTGAAATGGATTTGGATTATATTTAATCACTGTCTTTCTTGTCCCTATTGGCTTTGCTCGGTTTTTATGTGATGATCTCATAACATAATTCCCTTTATACAAATCATCCATAATATAATTTTCAGACGCTTAATTCAACCATGATCTTACCTCTGGTCAGTCAATCTCACATTAACTTATTTTTATATCAGTAGGCCTTGTTACCCGATTTCTGGCGGGTTGAGTTTAACCAGCCAGTTGTTGAAGGCTTAACATGCAGTGGTAAAAGATTACTTATGCATCGCAGTAAAGAGTTAAAGTTTTGACCTTGTCTCTTGGCTCCTCCTTGCTGTAGCATTTATATGTTGTATTCCTGAGGTCTATATCTGTCAAAATCGTTGCCGTTTGTAGATGTTGGAACAATGAGCTAATAGATGTTTCACTGATAGATTAGACTATAGGAATCAAAGCCCCTATGTTGTTTGGTCAAACTGTGGATGTGTGTAAGGGATTCACTTTCACGTTTAAACAAAACTTTTTTATTTACAAAAACCAGATGGTGATCCTGAACATCTTTATGCTTTTCAATGCAGAAAATACAAAAATTATTGTCATTGGACCGAGGTCTCTGAAAAAGAAGCTGAATATTTAGTCACTTAATTTGGATGGAATTAATTTGACCTCAGATAATGCAAAGACAGATGTTTTGGTTCACTTTTCTTTTCTTTTTAATTCTCTAACAGCTTCCAAGAAACCAGCAATCAGGATGGTGCTTATTGGGAAATCTGGAACTGGAAAGAGTGCAGCAGGAAACACCATATTAGGGGAAAAGCTTTTTAAATCTCCACTCTCCCTGTCATCAGTAACATCCCCCTGTGAGAAGAAATACAGATGTTTTAATGATGAGACATTGGTTTTAATTGACACTCCAGGGCTGTTTTGTACTTCAAGATCAATAAGAGAAACACTGATAGAGATTGCAAAATGCATCAGCATGGCTGCTCCTGGACCTCACGTGTTCCTGGTTGTTCTCCAGCTGAATCGATTCACAGAAGACGAACAGAAGGCAGTGAAAATAATACAGACATGGTTTGGAAAAGAAGCTTCCAAATACACTATGGTTTTATTCACTCATGGAGACGTGCTGAAGGAGATGGGGGGTATAGAAACATTGGGGAGTTTAATTTTATATAGTGAAGCTCTGTCTCAGATTATTAAACAGTGCCAGGGACGTTACCATGTTTTTGACAATAAAGAGAAGAATCCAGCTCAAGTCAGAGAGCTGCTGGAGAAGATCAACAAAATGTTAACAGAAAATGGAGGAAGCTACTACACCAATGAAATGTTCAAAGAGGCAGAGGAAGCCAATAGAGAAGAAATGGAAAGACTTCTGAGAGAAGATCCAGGGATGGGGCCTGAATACGCAAGAGAACAAGCTGAGCACTACAACTCATTCATTCGGGCCTATCTAGCAGGAGCTGGTGGTGGAGCTATTGCTGGAGCTGCTGTTGGTGTGGGGGTTGGAGGGCCAGCAGGAGCTGCAGTAGGAGCTGTAGTAGGAGCTGCAGCTAGTGCTGGTGTAGCTGCAGCATCTAAAAAGGGTTCTTGCATTGTACAGTAATTACTAGGCCTGTTATTGAGAACAGATGGACAACATTAAAAATGGATCTGATTAATGAAACTCTAACAGTGCCAAAAGAATATTCATGTGTTGTTTTTGATCAAATCTAAATCTTAAATCATTAAATGTTTTATGTTTATCCTCCTTTGTAATTATTTCATTGTAAGAGCTCTTCAATTGATTAGTCTGAAAATAATTTATGTTGTTGTTTATATGAACTCATCAACAGATCAATAGTAGGTAATGAAGGGAAATTGTTGATTCAGTTATTTTAAGACATTCATCACCAGAGATGGGAAGTAACGAAGTACAAATACTTCGTTACTGTACTCAAGTAGATTTTTCTGATATTTTTACTTTACTTTACTACTTATTT